ACTTGCAGACGAGACTTGGAGTGGGTTTTGCCATGCTGTTTCTCATGCTAGCCTTTTTGTTCTGATTTTTCTAATATAGGTGCTTCTGAAGCATCAATGTTTTCAACCTAATGTTCTTTTGTACATGATGTTCCTGTGTCATTCCTTATGGCTAGTAAAATTAATCTATAAGGCTACTCCATATTGCCTAGTATATTCCCAGACCTATTTGCTTAAGTGACTGAAAACCACTGTGTACTAACACTCAAATAAACAGACTGTATTTACAGATAACAGAGAGATCTTCTTGCTAATGCAGCAAAACATCTATAGAGAAAAAGTCTACATGATCTCTTAAACCAGCAAGGGAAACATTTGTTTCATAGCAGGACTGATCATCTAATAAAGGTGGGTTAGAAAAGTACTTTATATGTCCAGAGATCCACAGATGTTTTCCTCCCCTCCTTTCACCTCCTCTCCCCTCCCCTTCTTCTCTCTTTCTGTCTCTTACTGTTCTCTGTTGTTTCACTGGTTTATTTAGCCACTTTCCCATACCACCAGTACTGACCTTGGATGTCATCATGATGAATAGTGAAATTTTACACAGTATAATCCATTGGTGAATGGATTTTTACTGACTTTAAGGTTTGTACTGAGTCCTTCAAAAGTGCACAGCAACAGAGGACTCTTGACAGAAAAATGGCAACTCCTGACCCTTCTTTTGAAAAGTGGACAGAGGACATATGTTGCAAATAAGAGAAGGACATGGCAAAACATTCACTCCAGCTTAAAGAGTGTAGGGAAAATTGTGAGCAAAACAGTTAGCTCAGGATGCACAGTGAGCTAAGGCAAAAACAGTAAAAGACAGAACCTGTCAGCAAAGAGGTCAAAGAAGAAATTAGTGAGTTTGGAGGAAGGCTTTCACGAAATCCAAGGGAGAACTAGAACACTATTCATGATTTAGAGGGATGCATCATCCTTATCGCTGGAGCTTATAACTATCCTCAGGGATCATGTTCATAAAATCTGATGGATTAAAGATTAGAGACTAAGGATAGATATCTGTATTTTTCAGATGATGTGCTGCTAGTGTGATTCACAACCACAGGATTTCAGTCAAGTTGCACCTGGGTAGTGGCAAGGACAGCCATTCCACTTCAAATCAGCTCATCTAAATCTTTGGAAATCAGCTTCTAATTGTTTTTTTCTCCAAGCAGACTCTTCCTTGAAGGCAAAGTTTTGTTAGAGGATGGAGCAGTTGTAAAGAATCAGCTTTCAAATGTCAGAAAAATATAAGGAGAAAGGAAGAAACAAGGAGAAAAGATTATGCAAAGAAATCTGTAGCATCTTCAACTGGTCACCAAGTCATCAGAAAGATTCTGTCAAACCAAAGAATGCTTTTAACCACAGCCAGTATAAAGTGTTCATTGAATATATATACTGACAGTCAAGGTAGAGCAGATCTTCATACAAGTGATATGAAGATCCCTTGTATCTCTTCATACATGAGATATGGTTGCTTTATATGGAGGCTGACAGAGCTCTCAAAGGCTGGATTTTCAGGGGAGGAACTAATACTTTGGATGCAGAAGTGGGCTAACATGGCAGTTAAAGGCTCTATCTGATTTGAAATCACTGAAGTCACTCGACTGAAGATAGTTATGACAAAGGGGCTACTCTGGCAAACAAAAAGTGCAGTCATGTCTGCAGCCTGGGTTTGATTTAGGCAAGACTATGAAATGCAGAATGAGGTTCCAAGTTCATGCTTTATGACCCTGCACCCTGGAATACGGTTGATTAATAGGAGATTTCCTTTCTTCCAACATGTTGGAATCATTATAACACAGGGATATGACCTCTTGCTCAGATACTTTTACACATTCATATCCAGGCCTGCCTGGAAGGAACTCAGGGGTAGATTTTATTCATCTAACATAGTAGTTAAATCATGAACTTTGCTCCAGGCACCAAAGTAAGCTCCACCTTTGCCTTCTCTTTCATATTGAGTATTTCAACTAAATATTAATTTAAAACTTCTCTGTTCCCCGACACAAGATGGATCTCCAAACTTACCAACTTTACTCTGAGAAAGAGACACTCACCAATGCAAAACCTGGTCTGTCAACCCTAACAAATACACCCTGTTCAGCCAGAAAGACACTTAAATTACCTGAGGTGCTTTGTCTTCCCAATTAGGTGCTGTTTGCTGTGGCAGGTAAGAGCAGCACTGCCCAGTAGTGCTTGAGGTCATTCAGGACCTTGTATCCTCTGTCCTGACATACGGAAGGGTTTCAAGGCACTCCTTCTTCTGACTAGAGACACAAAGGTATCAATCAGTAAGCTACCAAACAGATTTTAGATGGGTAGGTACAGGAGTGACACCTACGAGTATGGGGAGATGCAGTCCAGTTGCAGAAGGACATTAAAAGGACTCCAAGTCACTTACAGGGTGTTGCGACAATAACTGCACACAGTCTGTGCTGCCCAAGTAAGAACTGAGAAAACTCCATACTGGAAGCATCCTCAATGACACGCCATGCTCTCTTATTTAAAGGAGACTCTGCTTATTTGTTTCTTTTTTGGCTGTTTATAACTTTTTTTATTAGGTTTTTTTTAACATTATATTTTAGTATGAGATTATCAGAGAAACTGGGACCGCTGCCATTCACCCTGTCAGAGACAGTGAGTGAGCACAGCTCCAAAGGTTTCAGCTCATACTTATAGGCTTGGTTTTCTCTACATTTATCTGATGTACTTCACTTCTGTTGCCTAAATCACATTCTAAGGATATTTTAGCTTGCTGCAATCCGTAAGAATGATGTGGGGAAACAGTGATAATTTTATTCATGTAGGCAGTTTGGCTGTGAAGAAGCTACTGTATCATTCATAGGTTGAATTCAGAGTTTGCTACAGAAATGGCCAAATAGTTAATAATTCCCGTGAAAGGGAATGTCCTGAAAGGCTGGTCTTGTATTACTTCTCTTCTCATATAGATCTCTTCTGGCCCTTTCTCAAAGCGAATTTCAAAGCTAGGGTGATAGGAAAACCTCAACAAAAGCTTTACCCTACCTAGAACTGTACTGACCGCTGGCCTAAGAGAGGAGAAGGGGTCCTCTTGGGAGTAGAGATGAAGCAGGAGAGGAGAAAGGTCCCTTTTTGTTCTTGAGGTCTGTGATGCCTCTCTCAGGGCTGCGAATGAGCTAGAAGTGGCAGGATCTCATTCCTTACATGAAGGAGATCTGAGCAGAAGCACTGTTTGACATAAATATTCTCACTCCTTCCAGAGTGAAGAGCTAAACTAACAACACTTAGTCTGGGCTACATTTTTTCAATACAGTCAGCGTTTCTGATCTTTTTCTGAAGTACTGTTGTTCAGGAAAGAGGTAGAGTTCAGCTAACTGGCAGTCTGAGGTTCAAATTGTCTCATACCCTACCCAGTGCTCAACAGGAGGAGCTCATGGAACAGGAGATACACAAAGTAGCATAGCTTAACATTCTGGAAGCAGAAAAACAAACAAAAGTGTGATGGAAAAAGTGCAGCATTCTTATGCTGCCCAGGAAACACAATTTAGTAAAGCTGCCCTACTGTTGAAACTATGAAGGGGAACGAAAACAAACGAAGTCAGATCACCTGTAGGCAGAGCTCTTCACATTAACCCTCACGTTATGAACCTTCCAACACAGTGTAGATGCGAGGAATCTTGTTAGCACTGACCAAGGAGTGCTGCTTCTTCCTCCCTTCATTTGTCCTGAGGGACAGAGGGTTTATTTCCAAAAAATCTGCTGCTCCAGTGTGTACAATCCCCTAACTAGTTTTTAACACTACAGAAGAGGCCAGCTGGACTCTGTGGATCTGCACAGCCATCTCAGAGACAGATACTACATTCGTCCACATTTTATTGAATGTATGCTTTACATTATCACAGAGGGACAATTAACGTTTGACAGTCAAGACAAAAAGTTAAAAGTGCCCCAAAAAGGTGATCATCTTGTCAGAACAGCTGGTCAAGACAGTTACGCTTCCAAGATGTGTAGGTCTCTGAACTGCCTTCCTATGATTTCAATAACTAGAGAAAACCTTGGATAACCATGAAAGATATTTTAACCTCAACAGAGAAGGAACTAATCTTGTCAGTGAGAGGGACAAGTGCTTCCTGATACATAGCTGAACACAGCTGAACAGCATCTGATTTGTAAGAGACCAATATTTTTTTAACTCTTTTTATCTCTTGAGAAACAAAATAATGAAGGAATGAAGGGAACATCCAAACACTTCATTTTAGTTAAAATCGCAGCATATAATTTGGTCTGATCAACACAATTATGAAGGCCAAGGGAAGGTCCAACAAAACTGATTAATTACTATGAAAATTAGAAATCAATTTCTGTGAGCGTTGCAGATAAAAGCATCTTATTAGTTCATCTTACTGAGAAACCATCAACAGCACATCAGACAGCAGCACTGTGGTTCATCCACCTACACAAAATCACTCAGACGGCCAGTTTATCTGCTCCATAGAAAAGGAACTTACACAGTGGCTCAAAACACAGTTCATTTTCATCAGTCAAATAAGCTATAAAAGGGTCACAAAATGGTGACTTATTCACTGGTCAGCAGGCATTATTAAGCTCTGTCATTATTTTACCATAATGCGAGTGAATTCCTAATCTTTGAAGATATGATATGCCAATACAGCCAAACAATGAAATGTTAGTGATGCTGTTGTAAATCAGAGAACATGAGATGAACAAGTGTAAAGGGGAGGTTATAGCATTTTATAACAATAACCACTTTTCTTCCTTTGACCAACGTAAGAATTAGCATGTCAGTAAATTCTTTATACTTTGAAAGAACAAGATTTCAGAGTCCTTAAAATCAGACTGTAGGAAAGTAAGCCGGAGGTCTTTAATCAAAACTGATGTGTCAGTAAATCCAGGAATTAAAGGAGAATTTGAAAGTCTCCTCTGGAGACCCAGAACAGGTTTAGAAGTTAGTCAAAATTTGAGACAGCAAAGTTATATTTGTCTATCTAACTATATATTTTATTTCAACAAAAATGGAATGCAAAAACTTACAGACATTTCATACTTGGTTGAGAAACAGGAATTACATGTCTAAATCTGAACTGAGAAAAGATAATGTAATGCATTTGTACTCAACCAGTATTAATGTGCTATTAGTGTTGGTTTTGCTCAGTGATGTACAACTGGTTGCTCTTCATCAGTAATTTGGTATTTTAGAGGCAGTTCTCACACTGGCTTTCACTTAGCCCCAGAACTCCAAGTCTTCATGTCAAAACAATACTGATGCTTGTTATACTCAAACCAAAAGATTTCCTTCCTTTGCCAATAGTCCATTTGAGGCAGATTTTGACATTATAGCTTTGAGAGAAGTACAGTCACGGAAAATACTGTCTTGTCTGAACAAAGATGAATCAAATGTTTTTAAAATGCACTGAAAGATCTGAAAGAAGATTTAGTAATTCTTACTCATTCCAATTTCCAGTTTTAAAGCTCAATAAATCTCTGCAAATATCTTCCTTCAACACTATCTGAAGCCTTGATAATTTCAATTCTGGATCATGTCCAAGAGATATTACAGACCAATACTTTGCTATGACCCTAACTGAAAAGAGCCTGGGATGTGTTCCTTTCCTTTACTGCAATAAAATCTCCAAAATACCTACAAGACTCCCTCTACAGCCTATGTTTTACCAGAACACATAAGCAAAGCTTGAACACCTTCAGCATGCATGTACCTGTCTAGGCTCCCACATCAACCTGGTGTATTCAGTTCTGTATAGGCTACGTGCCTTCTTCCTCCCGGGGCCTGTTTTTCTTTCTGCCACCTCTAAGGTACAGCATTGGATCTAGTCCCTGATGCAGGCAGATATCCCTATTTCCCCAGGCATTATCCAGACTGTGGTAGTCCTTGTTTTTCCTCTTGTTCCCTGACACTTCTGGGTCAACAGGACTTTATACAAACTAAGCAGGGACAGCTTCTCTAAGGGGAAGACTAAACTTCCCCTCTCCAGGTCCACTGAGGCTGAGAGAGCAGCAACCAGAACAAAAACCTTCTTTTCTGCAAGAAGTAACAAAAAACTCCTAAATACTTCTGTCTTTTCACAGTTGGTCAATTTTCTCTCCTTATTCAGGATCACTTAAGTGACAATGCTCTTCTCTAACAAGGTACAGGTTATGTCCTTGCTACATAATAATGTACAACCCCAAAGCTTCCCATTACATAAAGAAAAGTCTCTCTAAACTAAATGTTTATTTCTCAGTGGTCCTTGACAAGATAACAACTGTGCTCTTATGAGGCTTTTGACAATACAAATTCAGTATAGCTAGTAAAAAAAGAAAAGGCAACCATTGCTAAAGAAATCATAAATCTCTTCAGCCATCTGCAAACAAGGATAAACACTAAATAATTTTTACAGAATTCTTGCAATCTTAGGCTTTTTCTTTCATTTCAACATTATTTTATCGTTTTCAAATATTTATACTAAAGCTAGTATTAAAATCTGATTTTTTTGTTATCCCACACTTGGTTTTGATCTTGACCAACTTTGCATCAAGGCTGACACTTACGGGTTAGATTGAAATACTAGATGTAGTTATACAACTGGCTAGTTTCCATAGTTAACTCTGGTTTACTTTGTTTCCCCTGTTTTCTTCCCACTCTTCCAGTCTTTAACATTTTTCTCTCACTTTGCTTAATGTTTTCCTTGTATATATACTTTTGTCATGTTTTCCAGTGTTCCTCCTTTCTTCCTCATAGTTTTCCAACTCCCAAATTCCATTCTTGGGAATATCTATTTCTCTGTCCTCTCTTTCCTTTTTCCTGCACCCCATTTCTTCCTACTGTCTTTGACTTCTTTTTTTCAGATGTGCCTGCTGATTTGTCCAATGTCTTCTGCACTCCAAAATGGTCCAGGTCCTGCTCCGGGATTTATCAGTCACTGCCTATACTCACAAATGTAACTTACACCACTCTCTCACATCATATAACACCTTAGGATGTCCTGTATTCACAAATGAAAGTCTACAACTCACTTCAGACTTGACTTCCAGAACATAAGCTCTGGAAACTCAGAGAAAAGGCTCTAGAGCAGTGTCCTAGCACAAGCCATACTGTCCCACAGGACCAGTAGAGAAGCTATAACTTTTGTGCCACGAAGAAAGGGACTTTCCTAACTGTCCTAACTACAAAGCACTGCTAATGTTTGCAGGCAGAGGGAATGGTGGGGATGTGCTCACTTGCAGACCCACACCAGTCTATGCAGCATGAGATGAACGAGCTGGCAAGCTGCTGTTGAATAGGCAGATTGAGGATGTGATGTCTGTAGGTGGGAGCATTGTATCTCCAGAAGATATGGCCCATTTGCCAGTGGCTTAAGACAAGATGTGATTTCGGCAGGTAATATTCTGCTGTGCAACAGTGACTCATTTCTTCTTTCCATCAGGGTAATAGTGTTACCATACCAGAGGGGTAGAATACCATTTGGCATTTCAGTTAAGAACCATGATAAGTGTGTTTTTTGTCTTCAGTGCCCTTTACTCACTCATAGGCTGTTAAAGACCTTACCTTCTAAATCTATTAACTCTCAGCTTAGACAATGTGTGCAAACCTCACAGTATTCTAGAGGTGACAGCACAATTCCTAACAAAGCAACAAAAAGGCACAAAACGACCCTCTAAAAGCAAAAAAACTAAAAATCTGGCACAGGAGGACCTGAACACAGGTCCTGAACACCCTTCTCATGCTGCTCATGAATCATCCCGAAACAATGGAAGAAAATATGGTCTATAATCACTGTACTTCATTTTTTCCTGTTCAATGTAAAAACAGTGGTAAAAACAGCATGAGAAAGGATCAACATAGAGCTTTCTGAAATCTGACTGCCAGACTATTTAGTGTTGTTACCTACCCTGAGATTTCTCCCCTCAGTTATACACCACACTACTTAGACTCATTAGTGTAAATGCAGTTCTAAGAAGACATATTTATTCTCAGTGCCAAGAGTAAACCCTGAAATCAGAGACACTGTTGATTATTTCAAAGGAAAAAGACCCATCAAACTGAAAAATAACAAAAATAATGAAATGAAGTTACAACAGCCCAAAATAAACCAATTAATTTTTACATTTTGAATTTATTTTGACAAATCTGCAGCAAGCATTATCAGCTGTGTGAATAACATTTAAAAAGAATAGAGATTTTAGATATTTGATTGGCGGTGTATTTTCTTACAGCTTCTATATTTCCTTTATGTCTAAAAAATAGATTTTACTCCTGGTCCCTCACTAGTATGCAAATTTCTACCAGAATTAAGTAACCCATAGAAAAGGATGGAAGAAAAAATGAAATTTCTGAAGCACATAGTATTCTGTTTTGGTTTGGGTTTGTTGGTTTTTGTTTTGTTTTGTTTTTTTCCACTGCAGGTAAAGCCATTTTTCACAATTACTCAGCAAACAAGAGAAAGTCCATTAGAATCTTCACACTGTTAACAAAGACTCTTGGCTAACAGTACTGGTCTAAAAAGTAGATAAGCCATATAATTTTACAAGAAGCAACCCACTGAATCCTTCAGCAAACACAGCTTGGCAATCTATCTTCAATTCAAAATAATGAGGTGGCAGGAGTGTGATGGAGAAATAAGTCTTCAAAAACATCACGTAAGGGAATCCAGCTGTGCTTGTATAGTTTCCAGCTATTTAAAGGAACAAAAAGAGAGGAAAAAAACTCCACTCATAAAATGTTGTTTAGAAACATGCAAACAGAAATAAAACCACATTCCAGTATCTTCAATTATGCATACCAAATCTATTTGCATAGCAATATAAAAAACTCTGTACTCATGAATATTTGTTTTTACATGAAGCTATTACAATTCATTGCTGCAGTTTAAATATTCAAATTTTAAAAGAAACAGTTGTCTAAATACTGCCTCTTTTACATGCACAGATGTTTTGCTGTGAATTTCCAATGCATAATAACAAGGTAAAAAAATAATAGAGTTCATTTTGACTGGATTACAAGCCTGGCATTTCAACTGAAGATGTAACACAAAGATGCTGTTTCCAGAGAGATCCCCATTGTTAATCATCAGCTACTCCTCCTGATCTAACTGCAAGGTATGCTTACAACAACCCAAGCCCTGTCTATTCCAAATCTGAATGCGCAGGCTCTTTTTGAAAATGCTTTATGCGATCAAACAAATCCAACAGCCTTAATTTAAGATGGATCCATTTTTTCTAGTTTTATTAGATTTAATTCATACAGGCAACACTTCCTGCTGAGCAGCATAAGGTGTTTACAAAGAAACTATAGTATTGTAAAATCTACAGACCTTGTTATAGAACTCAAACAGCTCCTGATGGCTAAATTCTACAAACACTTTCTTCAGGTTCTGTAACGAAAAAAGAAGGAAGGAATAAGCATATTTTTTCATTTCTTTTTTGCATTAATTCCAGTAAATCAGAGTATGAGATTAAGCTACATGAATGATGTTTGCATTCAATATGATGTCCCTCCTACATGTATATTCCATTTCAGTGAAGAATTCAAGTCTCCTGGTACATCCTGTGAAGAATAGTAATAAAGTAATCTATGAAAAGGATTTAGTTACCTTATTTTTAAGTCAAACAAAAATGAAAGATTACATTTGTCTTTCTTAGTAGTCCATCTAAGACTTGGTAAATACCATTACACAGTGACAAAGTTAGTAGTGTATTTGGTTGAACTGGCACAGCTATTAATGTACTGCACCAGCACAGAGCTGATACTTCTATTCATTAATCTAACAGTTCCCATCTGAGCATGCTGATACTGTTTAGGCATCTCTGCACAGATTCAGCCCAAGTTAACAGTTAAGACAACAGCTTCAAAGTAGTGCTTAAACACTAAAAAAACCCACAAAATAACACAACTGATGAATATGTGGATAAAACAGATGTGGTAATAATCCTCTGCACACATATGCTGATGTTTGTGGAGATGGAGGTTAAATTATAACTTCTGTCCTGCTTAACTTGCTGGCAGTAACAGGAAGTTTAATGCCTGCTACCTTCAATCACAGTGCAGATGTATCCAGACAGTTTCTAGCTTTATTCCTTGTACTTCACTTTGTGACTTTATTCCTTTAAAAATAAATTTCTATTTCTGCACATTCTCTTTGTTGTTGCTAGACTTTTCAAGGCTTGGAGGCATTCCTGAACATAACAGCTGCACTTCCATGAACGCTAATAAGGCTCTGTGAAAGCTGAGTCTGTGGACACCCCTACTCACAAAATATTACCAGCTGAAATAACGTACACACACTACTTTGGTTTAACTGGTACCAACTTCACATACCACTCAGGTCAGTGCAAAAACGCTTGTTTATCAATTCAGCTTAAATGAGCAAGGATACTTTCACATACAGACAAGGCCAGTTTCTGTGTACTCATAGCAATGCAAGTCTCAAGTTATGCCAAACAATGTCACTGAATTTGGCGCACCAAATGCACAAGACCCATAGAAGCCCTGGGAACACAGTATAGGTACTGCCTGGCGTCTGCTCCTCAAAAGGAGCTGTAAGAGACACAGGAAAGGGATAAAATGACTGGGGCCAGCCTGTCTGGTGCAATTCCTCCTTCTTGCTCTGCAGAAAGAAGGATCCCTTCCAACAATTTCGGGAAGGGTACAAAAGCCTAGAAAAGCACCAGTGATTTGCATGAGAGACCAATCTTTTCCCTCTGGGAAGGAACAATGCAATTCTGTGAATCGTACGGTGAATACAAAATAAAACTACCAGGACAGCAGTTCTCTTTGCCATGACTCCAGCTGGTCCTCCCTCCAAAGAGCATAATGCCGTGACAGGGAAGTAAAAGCATTTTTAAAGGCTTTCTAACAGCTAAGAAACAAAAAGAAAGCAAACAAGGGGTTTCTTCAGGAAAGAAAGTGGGTAGAGGAAAGAAGGAAGATACACTAATAGCAAAGGGATCTACCATTTCAGCCAGGATGTTTGTTTGGCATTTGCCTTTCTAGAAGGGGTTTGGTGCTTGAATGGAAGGAAGCAAAACTGCAGAGAGGCGATTCAGAACAAAAGGCAGATATCATATATCTTAAAAGCTTATCAGTCACAATTAAAAGGGTCATCTCTTGCATGCTTTCTGGTAGAAGAGTCTGCTGGATTTTGATCTGACAGTTTAGCAACGCCTCCAGAGAGGGGCAGAGGAAGACCTCTGACTACCAGATATTTCTCCGAGCTCTTTGTTTCATTCAAGACAGGTATCTTCTGGTACTACTTTTGATCAGGAAGCACAATCAGCTTCTCTCACTCTCTCACACACACACACACAAAAGAAATCGAAAAGCTTGTCTGTCATATTTTCTTCTAACTACATTGATTACTGTTAGTTAAAACCTAGGGTATGCAAACAAAAAAAAGTGTGGACATTTAAATTCAGATCTTTGTACTAAAAAAAGAAAATCACTATGTTTTATGAATAGGATGAGATCTCTTTTCCCATTATTATTTAATAATTGTAGTCTGATAACTAAGATAAAATCTATCTTGTATTCTGGCAGGCAAATGTCTGTGGAGAGCTAAAAGAAAGCATGCCATGCCAGGCTATGTTTCTAACCTGGGGTGGGAAGGGAAGTATCAATGAGAGAGAGGATGTAAGAATCTTGTACAAAATCTGTTGGCTATCTGCACTTAATCATCTGCTAAAACACAATTGTTTTTATGTGTAAAAACCTGGTACACCTACTATGTCATTTCAGCAGACAGTAGTGTCACAAAAAAAACCCCATGCAGAAGTGTGGCATCAATTAAAAATGTTATTTTTAAAATATTACATTTCTCACTAGCATGAGTCCCTTAAGAAATGTGACAAATTATCATTGGTATGTGGTCAGAAGTCCTATACAGACTATAAAAACATCATAACTAGCTCCCTACAAGAAAAAGCTATGTCTCAGCAGGGTGACAGCCCCCCATTTTCAGCTGAGACATCCATTATTCAATTACTTGCTTTATTCTGGGTGAACATAAACAACTGTAATTAAAACTATGTGCTGCAGGACTAGGTTCCCATTCAGTTCTTTAATTACTCAGTAAAATAGTCTTAAAAAGTACTGTATAGATAGAATATTGCTAAAGACTTCCAAGCAGGCAAATTCCTAATTTACTTGATGGAATCTTACTCAGATAAGTATACAAAATTACAAACCCCAATAATATTTCAACTGCAACTAAAACATAGGATAGAAAAAAATCACTTTCAGTTTACTTACTTAATTAAATGTCACTGTGTGCAGACAGAGTCTCAACCTATTTATGAAAAATGCAGCTAAGTTGACTTCTTTTATCTGCACACACAGGTTTTCAGATGTTGCCTCTGACCTAGTACGCATTTCCCAGACATAAATAAGAAAACAGCAATTTGCTCCATGTCTAACTTCTTTCTTCTTTTTATCAAGTGTATCATTCTCTTTTCCTTTTTCCTGATAAATTTCTTCCCATTCTTCACCTTCACACTACTCTTTCTCTCATTTCTGGCATCTCATTTTCTCTTTGCTGTCATTATCTTCATGTGAAAGAAAACTAGATCGAGTAACCAGAAAACTAAACTGAGTTCATTCCCATTGTCACACTCTGTAACTCCAATGTTTTCTAATTACATCCCAAATTCTGTCACTGTGGCAATGTAAATCCTAGCTCCTACTTTTAAGAGTTTTAGCCTTGAGGATGACAGCTTCATAGTGTCAGAGAAACACAGCTGAAGCTGTTATTCTTATGAAAACAAAGAAATCTCTAAAGTACCAAATGTCCATTCTTTGGGCTGCTTTGAAAACACGGAGACAGGTTTTTTGTCTAATACAATACCCGTGAACGGTGGCAGGGACTGCACTGGAGTGATACGCTCAGTGAGCACAGCTAAAGGGTATGTGCAACATCTTCAGCTAAATAAAGTTGCTGTTCAGTTCAATGTGTTCGTCTTCTGTAAAACATGACAAAGCATTGCATTCGCTACTGGAAAGGTCTGTGTGAATTGCAGGTGTCATCCAAATCTTTACATCACTCTGAATCGATTGCAAGGAATATGGTAATAAGTTTTCTGAAATGTATGGTTTAACATATTTGGCCATCACATGGATCACTAGTGAATGTATTTTAAGTATTAACATTAAACTTTAGTGCCATTTTGCCTTTATACATCTAGATGAAATCTGATTTCATCCCACCTCTTCTCTCACCCCAGGGCTGTATCAATTTACAATTTACAGCCTCCTGAGAGCTGTGAAATTCTAATAAGTTTAACTGATAGGGTTCTTTTCTCCCCTTAACTATCTTCTCACTTGCTGTTTGGTATCATTTTAAAAACATAACATCTTCATCAGTCTCTAAAACCAAATTTCCTTTGGGATGTGGGAGGGGGGCAGGGAAGAGGAGGGAGAAATGAAAGGAAAATGAAGATAAAACCTTTGTGTTCCCAGTCAATATTAATATGCTATCCTATCAAAAATAGCCATTCTGAATGTACGGCTAATTCTACAAAATAGCCACAGTCATTTAATATACACTTAGCTTACAACCACCAACAAACTATTAGGTAAATCGCTAGCTGAACATGATCATCAGCATAAAATGATCAAGATGCAAGTATACAAGCTGCATAAGAGTCTCCAATTTCCCATTGCATCAGCTAACTATTTCAAATATGAATATCGTCTTGCTGCAAAATGTTTCTGTGGAAACAAAAAATGTCTCCTCAAAATATTTCAGAAAGTAGAGGCAAATTTCTGCTTATAATCAAAGGACTCAGTATTGCTTTTGGGGCTTTGTTTGCTTGTTTTTGGTTTGTTTCATTTTATGGTGGGGATATTTGTTTGTTTGTTGGTTGTTGCTTTTTTTTTTTTTAATACAATGCTCTAGATGTTTCTATTTTCACGTACTACTGCAAAAAGCTTCATTACTAATGACGGAGTTTTGCAACCTTGCATACTACACAGCTGTATTCCACACAATTACTCCCCCAACCCAAGCATAAGGATAAAGTAATGCCCTAGAAGTTATAAATAAAAGGTAAACTTCTGGGTTTAAAGCTAACTTGAATATGAAAAACTGATATTGCTGTAATAGTTTTCAACTGCAAAGCTGTAACTACTTCAATGATGTTGCAAAATAAATGCCAAGTATTCTGAAGCAAACAGGTGGAGGGACAGGCTGGCTTGTATATCTAAATGTCTATCGATAATGATAATGTTCTATGACTGAGGACATATAAAAAATCACAGTATATTCAGAGAAGTTTGTTAATAATAACTAAGTGAAGTAACACATATCCCAATCTTCATATTGTAATATAACCTTGAATACTATCTTGAGACACTTCTCAATTAGGTTTGAGAGAATATTTT